ATATATATATCAAACATCTACAATCTTCCTGTGAGTGTGAAGGCAGCAGCTGTAATTTGGCCTGCTGCCAACTTTGTCACCATATTTGGACTACAGTTTTAAATAATCCATCCGTTCATTTTCTTTACCTGCTATTTTGTGCAGGATTGTGAGGAGCTGGTTCCTTCTTCCTCTGCTCATAAGCCGAGAGGCGGGGGACACGCTGGACATGTCTCTTGTCCGTCACAGGGACACAGAGTGAGTCCTGTTTCAGATTCTTGACTTTTGAGCCATGCCAGTGTGTGTGTGGACCCCTTATCTATGGCAAGCCCTTTTAACATAAAATCGAGTAGTCTGACTATCTGTAGTTACATTCTAGATATCTTAAATTGAGTTTTGACTAGGCACAATTACATTTTGACTAGTCAAAATGTAATTCAAGATATCTTGAATGACGTCACTTTATTTGTCATTTGAAGGGTCAAACATCCGTAATTACAATTCAAGATATCTCGAATGTAATTATGACTAGTCAGAATGACACTTTTAGATATCTTGAATTAAGAAATGACGCGGAGGACCCGCGGCTGCTACTTAGCTGTTCAAACAGCTGCCTGCAGAATTTTGGGTGGCTGCAATGGCGCTAGCTGTTCTGGACAACATTGTTAGAAAATGCCACAACTTCCTGTGGCTCTAGTGTTAGACAGTGAGGAAAATGGCTCAGTCTCTGCGCTGTTGTTTTTGTTCAGTTCCTGGTTGTTCTTGTGGGGCAAGAAAACAACCGTATCTGTCCTACCACGCTCTCACAGCCTGCTTGAGTCACCATAATTAGTCAGTGTCTTACCTGAGAGAAGACTGACTGGCTTTTGGATTTTTGTATGTGAATGTGAGGCCCATGTTTGTTTGTTTTGCAATTCTTAAGTATTATTCATATTTATTTTTGTTAATTTCATATTTATATTCCAGGTTGAAGGTGACAGTTGAGTCTTGTGTAGGTTCTGTTCCACAGTGTTTACTGGTAAACAAACCCAAGTGTCTTTTCTGTGTATAAATGATGTCCTTGGGTGAAAGTCCTAAGGTGGTGTTGCAGTAAGTTTATAAAATAAAAATAACATCCATACCCAAGCTTGTCACATGTATGTAAGTTGTTCTAGTGTTACGTAGTTACCGGTAGATAGTTTGTTTTGAATTATTTTAAACATTCTTCAATTAAAACACACTTGAGCAGCATACTGTACTGTTTTTTTTATTTGTGGATTGATTCAGTTGGATTACAAGGAAAACAAGTGCAATTTACAATATCTAGTAAAAACAAAAAACATTTAACTATTTAAGTTAACATTTTATAACCGTACACTATAAATTGATAGTGGATTATAGATATTTTATCAAATTATGTAATTTCAAATTAAATAAATTGGCACATTTATGTATTTTTCATGAATAACTATTTACAGTATTTACATCTAAAAAGTTAAGTCTGGTCCTCTGGACATTCAAAAAACCAAAACAAACAAAAAAAAAGAAGAAGGTAGAAACGTTTCGTCTTTCATCCGAAAGGCTTCTTCAGTCTGAGGTGCTGCTCAAAGTCACTTTTATTGTCAAAAACTGCAACATGTACAGGACATACACAGGACTGAAATTACATTTCTCTCAGACCCCGGTGCAACAATAACCATTTAACATTAAAACATTTATTAAACATAAGCATAAAATGAAGTAATAAATGGTTCACACATTTACACATGGTTGTCAGCAGCAAACTGGTTGATCCACTCTGAGAAGGTGCTATTTAAGAGACTGAGCTGAAAACAGCACCTCAGACTGAGGAAGTCTCTCGGATGAGAGACGAAACGTTTCTACTTTTTGTGTGTGTTTGTTTTGTTGTTTTGCTTTTTGAATGTCCAGAGGACCAGACTTAACTTTTTTAGATTTTCCTACCTGGATCATTGAGCAGCATCAGGATATAGTATTTACAGTGATTCACACAGATTGAGACTGATTAAAAATATGAAGGAACAAAAGGGTGATTTATAAATTTTATGTTTCTTGCTGCATTGATATAAACACATGGATGAAGGTGTTGAAGTAAAACATGTCCAGTTTAGACTTCATCTGATCAATCAATCAATCAATCAATCATCAATCCATTCATCACACCATCCCCGTTCAACAGTTATTGTTTAGTGTACCCCCTGATCATCTGAGCTGTCAGTGCTGTCAGCAGACTCCTCTTCCGCACTTCCTCTGTAAGCAACACGGAAAGTGGAAACAGCTAGCAGTAAGCCTTGGTTGTTTAAGCTGTACCCACGCGGGACATCTGGACTGCTCCCTGGTTCTGGCCTGTACTTCATGTGACACTTGCAGAGACTGAAGGTGCATAAGTTGATCAAGTGTGGACACAAAACACATGTTGGGAAGACTATGCAGCATCGAAGGAAGAGCAGGAAGGTCTGGAGCCATGTGGTGCAGAATGATGCTACGCAGGACTTCTCAGGTGGGCACTGGTGAGACCTCAGTGAGCCCTGTGGCACAGGACCAAGTCTGGATGGTACCAGCTCCAAAGCTGAGAGACCATCTCTAGGATAAGTGTGATAAGTGGTTGAGACGCCAGCTGGTGCTGTTTTTCTCCCGATGCCAGGATGTCAGGATCTGGAAGTGGTCCTACAAACACACGA